CATCGACCAGGCAGGATTCATTCCAGGTCGATACATCCTGGATAATGTGATGGCTCTAAACGAGGCGGCAAAGAAGATCACGGAAAAACGAATGCAAGCGGCAATCTTATTCTTCGACTTTGAAAAGGCGTACGATCAAGTCAATTGGGACTTCCTCCACAACTGCATGGAGAAGATGGGAGTCGGCCCAAACTTCGGAGAATGGGTTATGCCACGGGTAGGGTGCAAATAAACAAAATACTGTCAGAAACCTACCCGATATCGAGATCCGTCCGGCAAGGCGACCCCCTTGCACCCCCAATATTCTTGTTCATAATGAAAGCCATCGCATCTTTCCTGCGCAAGGACCCATCCATAGACCGCCTCACCAAACAAAACTACAACCCCCTCCACGACTTTGCTCTCCCCAATGCACAAATGTTCGCAGACGATCTCACGGTCCTCATCCGCGATAACAACTTTTCCTTCCAGGCCCTGGCCTGCGCCATGGAAGCCTTCAGACTCGCCTCAGAAATGAAGGTGAACTGGCTGAAAACGGAAGGGTGGTGGCTAGCAGAAGGCTCCCCCCCCCAACCCCCAGACCCATCCATCTCAATGTCTTGGAATACAGGCGATCAAGCATTCCGATATCTAGGCATCATGGTAAACAGGGACGGCATCTGGCAAGGGATAGGGGAGTCACTGCTCGCCAGAGCAATAAACCGTTTAGCCACCTGCAACGAAGCCCAGGCCTCCCTACTAGGGAGAGCCTTGATTATCAACACAGCAGTATTCTCCACCTTCTGGTACATGGCCTCCATATGGTGGCCCCCCTGACGACGACCGGAAGAAGTTGAAGGCGAGAGCCAGGTGCTATCTGTGGACTGGCGACCCCAACAGAACCACCTGCATAAACAAGGTGGCTTGGTAAACTGTCATCAGGAAACCACAAGGAGGGCTAGGTATAATCGACCCTAAACAGGAAACGATCGCCGAACATGAGTGGCCTATTCTGGATCATGGCAAAGGAATGGACAATCAAATCGGGGAGACCAGCAAGGGAAACTAACCAGTGACCCCCATTCAACCCCCCACTGTACCCACCCCCTACTGGTCCCCGATCCCGAAGACCTGGCGCCGACTGATGCCAAAAAAGAAAGCCCCCGCGAGCAACAAAGAGGAAGTCCTACGACAACCCCTGTTCTGCAATCCCTGGATCAAAGACACAGAGGGCAGACTGTGGACTCTCTGGGCCAAAGACCGCAGATGGCTGTCATGGGTGGAGAGAGGAGTATGGCAGGTCAAACATCTGTGGTCCGAAGACCGACAAGAATGACTCACCGCGCAGGACCTCCGCACTCCTTTAAAAGGCTGCCATCTACTGACCACCAACTTGTCCGAAATCCTCCAAAGCATTCCCGTCCCATGGACGACCCTCCTAAAAGAGACACATACGTAGAAACCAAGAGACTGGGGACTGCGCTTTACACAGACCCCAACAAAACACCACAGAACGAACAAATAGAAACCTACCTTCTCAGGAAGGTTAGAGTCTCTCACAAGACACCCTGGGTTATATTCCAGCCGGAACTCAGCATCAACGAGTTGGAATTCGACCCAAAGGAATGGATTTGGGATCTGGGCGCCGCCAGTAAATCGAGAAGGATAACAGAATATGACGTGAAGTTCGGGTACAACCTCGGACTACAAACCAGGGACCCGAATTCAAGACTGGCAGAGAAATGGAGAACCATAATGAACCTAGATACCACGACCACCATCACCATCACATGGACCAAGTACCTTCTCATCAGACCAAGTAGAATCCATAGTATGCAATGGCTTATAGCACATGCAGCCCTGCCAGTCAACCAATGGTTACACGAGAGAAGGAAACATTCTGATCCTGATAGCTCGGCATGCTGCTCAATGTGCAGCAACGACCCACCCAAAGACATCCCCCACTGCCTCCTCTTCTGCCCTGAAGCAATCTGGATATGGAGGAAGATCCGCGAGCTATGGGTGTTCCTGTTCGCTGCCCCCCCCCCAAACATCCCCCCTATCTCTATCCTACTTCTAACTAACATCCCCAGCAACATCACAGGCAGCAGGGAAGCATGGTTCACCATACTCAGGAAGCTGGCACTGTGGGTGATATGGAAACGCAGATGTACTCAGACAATCGAGGGATCAGAGGTGGCAAGAGAAGAAATGTGGTCACTACTGCTGAGCATGGCAGAGACGGAAATCAGGAGCAGATGGCGGAGAATAGCAAACTCTGCGAGACACAGACCAGAAAGACACGCAACCCAGAAACGGACTTTCATAAGGAACTGGTTGCTAAAAGGCAAGGTGGCAACGATAGTAGACAATAGACTGAGATGGAAGAAATGGCACCCGACAGAAGCATGAAGACCACGAGGATACATGCCGGGAGACCTGGCAGAAGGATATGAATGGTGATCAACAAAAAGAGGACCGGACACACAGGGAAAGACAAGGACAAGCAGCAGAACACAGAGCAGACCCCCCCACTGTTCTCGTATTACAGGGACTTATTCGACAGGCTCTAAATAGAAGCCTGAGAGGAACAAATGGTCAGGGCGAGCTGACAGTCAATCCTTCTTAAAAGGAGCAATCAATGCTGATCGGGGGTCCTTCGGCCAGACGGAAGGAAGCGTTGAGTGGGTAATAAGATGTAATCCGATTTTGACTTGTCGGGGGAATAGGAACCGGACTGACGCTCCCCAGAATGGATATGGAGCCAGGACCATAAGGACCTGTTAAAAAAAAAAAAAAAGTGCCGCGCCTCTGTTATTGCCTTTTCCAACTTGGCGCTCAAGTAACCTGCCTGTACGTGTTTTTTTTGGCCTATTTGGAACTCATTTTCGCTCGAGATGTAGTTGCCTCATAATCCCCTCCTTAGAAAATCATGCCCGCTTCATCTCCTGTAAAAGCGCAGCCAGAACCAAGGATACTGCTCACATGTTCTACGATCATATTGCCCATCTTCTTGAAAAGTTGAAAACATCATTACTGATTCACTTGCAATGACTTGCTGATTTCTGCTGTCGAGATTAACAGCGAGGCTGTACACTAACCCGGTAGGTTAGATTCGTAATTTTGTTTGGCTGAGGGCTAACCGAGAGACCTGCCTGTAGGGAAATTCTTGAGGGACAGATCTGTAAATCTGGGAAAATACAGGCCCAGCACTAACCTGAATTCCTACAGCTACCCTAACTGCTGATAGCAGGCCCGGGCTACCCCTAGGACAGACAGGCCCTAAGCGGCCTATGCTGCTAGACGGTCCTATAGCCTATAGCCGGGTCCGGTAGAGGCCGAGAGGCCGAAACAGCAACGGTACCGGTCGGTCAGTCAGTCCGGTCTAGGTCCTAGTAGTCTAAAGATAGGTTAGGCCCATTGGTTCGGGACTTTTTGGCAGTTCATTTCTCGCGAGCAGCGTTGGAGAGGCGAAGCCAGTAAGTGGCGGTGACTGTCTGCAGGCGGCATCCTGAGACCTCGCCGTTGACAGCAGCCATAGCCGGCCCAGTCTGAGTCTGCCATAGCTGGGGCATCCTCAGCGCATTTACCCCTGGGGTATCTGCGTCTGGCCGGGCTATATCGAGGCTCTACACTGTGTACTCGTGGGTGGTGGCAGCCATAGCTGCCTGTTCCTTCGTCAGAGTTGTCCATCGGCACTGAAGACTTCATCACAGGACCTGTTCTTCATCAGGGTGGTTGGCGSTGGCCTCWSGRAGGCTGTTCTGACGCAGCGCTACTAACTGGGTGTAGGATAGAGAGTGGGGTGTGAGTTCTGAGTGTGGCGAGATACTGGAACAAACTCTGTTACGATAATTGTGTGAGTGGCTCATCATCAGTGACAGTTTCAATTGTGATTTTCGCAGGTTCTTTCTTGTGATTGGTTGTTGGGAGTTGTGTCAGAGAGTGAGAAACACTGTGTGTCTTCTCCCCTGCTGTGCATAATTGTCTTCCGCTGTTTATCTTCACCTGTGTGCAGTGTGGACTCTGTCTCCTCTCTCCCCTTCTCTTATGCATGTATGGGCATGTGTGAACATTGTCTGAGTGTGAGTGGCGAGAAAATTCGCCAGACAACCAAGTTCATTAGACACTAGTGACTGAGGCCAAAAACAACAAAATTGTGAAGAATGTGGTTATCATCTACGAATAGCACAAAAAGAATCGAATTACTTATTGGTCCTGGAACTCGACAACCAATTGGTGAGCAAATGTTGCCCTACGACATTTTTGAGTTTCTGGATGACAGAGTTCGGTGAACGTGCCTACAGTTAGCTCGTGAACAGGGCTAATTTTTCCGCATGACCCGCGTTAGCGGAAGCAAGCCAGCGGCAGCACTGATCCGTCACCCTGGGTTAGGCTGGGCGGAAAGGAATGCGCGGCTAGGCAGGGGAGGAGGCACATGGGAGATGATCAAAATCCCTGCGCAGAGGCACAATAGAGATCCGATAGGATAAGGCCCATAGGCACAGCAGAAGTCCCTACTAGTCAGTAGGCATAGATCCACCACATGTCAAGTCCCAGCTCAGTCCCAGGAAGGGCCTAGGGACAGTCCAAAGATTTGTCAGCCACGGCAAGGCCTGAAAAGGCTGACAGCGCCAACCAGTGGGAGGTACCCATATGCACAAAAAAAAAAAGAGGGAGGCCGCAGCCAGGAACCCACTCTTCTTTGACTCTGGCTTATGCGGATGCGCTGCTGTGTTATTGTGCGCCAAGATCCTGGACGCATGAACAGTGCCTGCCGAGGAAGATAGCTGATGGTGCTGGGCGCTATAGCTGTAGGATAGCGCAGCAGTTGGAGAGAGTGAGTGAGGACATTCACCGAGAGATCACAGGGGAGAGAGAGAGAGAGAGAGAGAGAGAGAGAGAGAGAGAGAGAGAGAGAGAGAGAGAGAGAGAGAGAGAGAGAGAGAGAGATGGGCGGTTTGAGAAAGATGAGTATGTGGACAGAGTTTGGGACACCCACACACATGGTTGGATGGTACCTGTTAGGTGTTGCAGACCCCAGATCAAGATTTCCAAGACCAGACTGGCCAAAGGCATTCCATCCCCAAGTAAAGAGCTTCCCGGTGGCTGTCAGTGCCAATGTGTGTCCCTAAGAAGCAAGCCATGCAGTTTTCTGTCATTAGCAATCTCCAATTATTCCAGACCCCTTCAGCAGTTCACGAAGCCCCAAAAATACGCTCCATTACTGATAAACTTTCAGACCTAGTTTATGTGTGCATGTTTGCTAGAACATTTCCAATCGAATGCCCATGTTTATCCATGAAAATGCAATGCACAGGCCCGTACATGTAGTGCAATTCACCACCGACGCAATGTGCCAACGTAATAAGACTCAAGGAAGAAAGTAGACCGAAACACAGAAGACAACAGGGCACATCATAAGAGATGAACACACAACTCAAACCCCATCTCACCACCACTCCTCCTGAAGAGCTCGTACTTCTCTCCATAATCAATGGTTACAGGAAGATAGAAGCTTCACGTCATCAAATGACCACTACCTAGGATCTGTTCAGAAACATCGCGACACCCGCTTCCCCTAGCCAGGGTCTTCCTCCTCATCCACCACTCTATTCCTGAATTTGCGAAGTCCGTGGACCAGAATCACGACCGCAATAATGTACAGAGAGAGTCTCCTCCTTCAGATCCCCTGCTTTATTTCATTGGGCTGGGGGTAGCTACCCAGCAGCCCCCCGAGATCCTGACTGCCGTCTTCTCTCGACTCTTCTGGCAGAAACCTGACGACTTCCAAGTTATGCTGCAACCCTCCCTGGGCCCTGGCAACACACATATCAACCTAATTTTCTTCCAAGTACAGGCAGGTACCAAGGACTTCTATCTTCGCTCATCCACCCTGCTTCCATGCCGCTGCTCTGCCGAGAGGGAGAAGTTGGCGGAGCTCCTGGAGGTTGAAGGTGGAGCCGGAGGGTGACGGAGAATACCTCCATGGGCCATGGCTCAAGGCTATCTTTGCATGGTCAAAGGACAACGCAAATACTCTAATCTGGATGGAGCTCCGCCATGGAGGTATTCTCATAGGACCTTCAACCTCCAGGAGCTCTTTGCATGCTCAAAGGACAATGCAAATCCTCTAGCCGGGATATGAAGTTGTGGAGAGGTTGAGGAAGAGGAAAGGAGGTGGGAAGAGGAAAGGAGGTGGGAACTGACAAGAAGACTCGTCTTTGGCTATAGTGGACTCACATCTTCAGCGTCATGGTTGGTGCTGCATCAAGAAGGGCCCTGTAGGGGTACTTGTTGGGCATGGATTTCATCCACAGAGGATAGGATTGGCGGTAGTTGAGAGGGGAGGGCATTGGAGTATTTGCGTTGTCCTTTGAGCATGCAAAGGTAACCTTGGATGTATGTCATATCCACTAGCCAATAGCAATGTCGAAGGAAGGCGAAGTGGGTTAAGGAGAGCTCTTTGCAAAGCTGGTAGTAAGGGAAAACAATCGGATTTGTTCATTGTTGTTGTTAATTATTATTATTAACTTATTAAGATGTTGGTGGTGATAAAGAGGAAGAGATGATGGAGGCGAGATAAGGAGGGAGATGACATTGGTTCCAACTTGTGTTTTTCCTCTTCTTCTGTTCTTTCCTTCATTATTATTCTTCCCTTTTCTCATTCTTCTTCTATCTGAGTTGCGGGAATTTTTTTTTTTTTTTTTTTTTTTTTTTGATTGGCAAATCCGGTCATGGGTTGCTAGACAATCTTTGAGTTTTGCATTATGACGTGTATAAGGGACGGGCCTTTTGCTTTCATTTGAATTCCGGTTCCCTTCTTGCTTGCTGGTAATGAACAACCAGACTGCTGCCCCCCAAAATAGATGGGCACCTGTGTATGTGTGTGGGTTTCAAGGGGGCGGGGGAAGAAATGGACAGGATCATAGACTAATTATCAAAGAAAAGGGGCAATGCAGTGATTTTGGGTGTGTGGGTACATGGTTCATAACTGAATTGGACGGGTGTCACTTGAGGCAGGGTTCACACACCTTCTCATTCGATCATCTTCTCTCTCAACCCTCTCCCCTAATTACGCTGCCCTATCCTCAAATGCAGCAGTGTCTATTCCTAAGATCATGCTAAGTAGCAAGTGTTCCCTCTACAGCGGCCAAGCACACTTTACTCTAAGTGCTTCTGGACCCTACCTGCATCAGTACAGGGCCTATGGGCATCACTCCTGGCTGTAATCCCCCTTGGACAGGACATATCTAGACCTATCCAGAGTCCGGACTACATTCAGTCCGGTGCTATTGTTACACCTAGCACTAACTGTACCAGGGCCTCCACAAGTTGCCGGACTGGGTCCCTGCAAAATTATGCAAATTTACCTATACGCCCTTGTCCGCCCTACCCCAACCCATACCTCCTACTACTGCCAGATTTCCATCCTATCCCTATATCGAAGTCTATCTACAGCTATGTCCTCTTGAGACAGCACAACAGCACGGACAAAAGGAAGTGCACACATATGTTGTCCACTCAGAACTCGGCAGAACAGCAAACATTCATGCATGGGCAAGCCAAAAAACACTCAGACACAGAAAGTTTTTTTTTTTTTTTTCAAAAAACAGGTCCTTATGGTCCTGGCTCCATTTCCATTCTGGGGAGCATCAGCCCGGTTCCTATTCCACCGGCAAGTCAGAATAAATATTACATCATGAACCCACATACGCCTCCTTCCATCTGGCTGAAGGAACCCTGACCAGCATTGATTACTCCAGCATCGTGGAGGATTGACTGTCAGCTTGCCGTGCTTTTCCCTTTCCTCTCAGGTCCACTATAATGGTGTTATGATTCTGGTTGTTTGTTGTCTGATGACCAACACTCACTCACATAGACTTCCAGGTATGCCCATACATACACAGAAGGAAGGGGAGAGGATAGGAGTATCACACCACACAGGGAGAGATAACACAGTGGAAGACTTGACCATGCGATATGACAGGGTACACTGAAAGTGCAATTCACTCCACTCAATCCTCACAACCAGTCATAAAGAAAAGCCGAGCAGATCACATCCAGGAAACAATGACACGATGATAGTCCAAACCCAGTTACACACTGTTTATTAAACTCAGAGTCTCAAATTGTCAGGATAACTTCAGTACTACAGTGCACCGCTCAGAAATGAGCAGCGCTTCACTCCCCAACCCTGATTAGCAGCCGTAACACCCCTGAGCCACTGAAACATCAAGCGCCACCCAAATACAGCCTCCTGAGGGAACCGCCACCCTGAAACAGGCCTCTGAGGCCAAGCGCCACTCAGAGGATGAAGAAGAAGACCAGCGCCACAGCATCTGATGATGACGAAGTGTCGGAA